CAAAAACAAAAAATGAAATAAACATTTAAAAATGTACTGAAAAAAATTTTTCTCCCCTCAATTTTTTCATTTTTTTTTTTTTTTTTTTTTGGTGGAAATCTGTTAAATGTTTAGTTCTGTTCTCAGCACCCATCATGTTTTATTTAGATCATATAAGATATGAAGAGAACTCAATCAATGAAACTAAAGTATAAAATGTCTTCTGGCCTTTTAAAAACATTTTTAATTCAACTGCCTTTGTTTGTGAGTCCAGCAGAGTTAAAATCTGTTTGGAAACCAAAATATTTAATAAGTATTATAAGTGTTATAAAGGTTCCTATGTTCCCTTCAGACCATGAGCTGAAGTACTGTGGATTGATTGTATTTGGGTGTGAGCGGTTGACATTGATTGTAAACTCAACATGTTTAGTGTGTTTCATTAATGTTTTTATATTGAACATCTGCTGCTGAGGTTTAGTTTTCTTATAGCTCCTTCAGCTTGTCCTGTGATTGGTTGGATGGTTATATTCTCCATCAGCAGTTCCAACTCTATGTATTTCTGAAAATATTTATTTTTCTTCAGATTTATTTATATCATCATTTAAAAACAGTAGATTTAAGATCAAGAGTACATTTAAAGGTTTATATATATATATATTTATATGGAAATTAAAATTATTCCTAACACTTTAAAAACAGAGCTGTGTTGTTAACCTGAAAGATTCAGACTGTTTTGTTTCTGCTGCACATTGATTGGATGGTGTGATGGTCTGATTGGAGCTCTTTATCATTGTTTTAGTGATTATTGTTCTAGTGGTCCTCTTAAACCAGACATGCCTGTATTGGCAAAGCCATCACCTGAAGTTAAGCTGCCTGTGTTTTAACAATACGCTCCATGTGTTGGAATGTTGAATGTCTTCAGGTCATGATTGTGTAAAATGATGTCTGTGTTCCTGTTCTCTGTGTAGTAGTCGTTTTAAAATCCCATTCATCTGTGTAAACTGTGTTTGTGTTTATGCGCTGTGAGCTTATTGACTGGTTCAGTAGAAACTGCATGTGTTGTTTCATGTCTGACTGTAAAATAAAGGCTGCTGCCTCAGTACTTCTAGTGGCTTTTATTATCTGCATATTTACATAGATGGAACTGGATTACATGACAAAATATGCCATGTGCAATATTTCACCCTACAAACCCAGATGTTTAGAAAATATTTTGAATATTTTTGTTTTTACCATGGCTGTGTTTAAATGTACGATATGACATGAAACATCTATATTTATAGCCAGATGTGTGCAAGGTTTTACATTCATTCATCTTTTCTTACAGATGAATAATCTGACCATTGGAAATGAAGAGAAACTCAACCTTTCATTTGAGAAATTCCTATCAAGTTAATCTGACTCATTAGTTTATTAAAACGTATGTTCCACTTATTTAATGTGACCAGAGAATTCATTTTCACTAGATTTCTTTTAGCCAATCTTTAAACCTGGAACAACAGGAGAGCATGTATGGCAGATTGTGAAGATAACATCTGCAAAAAAAAAAAAACACCTTGAGAAGGTAAAGAATTCCTTCTTCAGAATGATTTCAACAGCTTTTATTTCTATTTTATTAGACTAGATATAATTTACTTTAACCCATTATCACTACACCTAAATAATAGATCACTTTGCATTCGCAGTCTTTACGCTCACACCAAGGGAACTTTACATCATTTAAAATTTAAAGTCTTGGGTGAGGATTTATATTTTTTCACTTCTTTATCCAGATATTTC